TATCCAGTAACAAATTCGTAGAATCTAATGTTGGGTATCGGTGACAAAATTTCCACATCGTGGGAGATCACAGCTCGATTCTTTGTTGTACGAGGGACAAATAAGTGTTTATTGGGAGAGACATTTAGGATTTATCAATCTTTCCAACCGGTAATTTTAGAAAAACTATACTAATATCGCTCTTCACCATATAACATAGAAAATCTTAGGTGCAGGTCCTTCCTCACATCCTAGAGAGAGCAGACCTATCACTATATCCTTCTACTAGACTACAGAGCGGCCATTGCACATATACGCCGTCGAAGGGTACATTTCAGATCGCACCCACTTTGTCAAAAGCCGACAGATTCAAAGTATTATTTTGGCCTACATAAGGGAGAGTGACACAGTTTACTAATGTGTCACTAATAGACGTACAATGAGATAGGGTAGATTTTCTTATAGATCAAATGGGTACAAACATATGTGTTATAACTACAAATTAACAACATGTATACGAAGACACAAAAATGGAAGCTAGTCTCTTTGTTTAATCGAAAATCCTCAAATCTGTGATGTCAAAGTTTCTTGTGATGTGATGGGGGTCCCGTAGGGGTCGATAGGTAAACCCCTGATGTTGTAGGCGAGAACGAAACGTTTGGACACTATCAAGTAGTTCGGGGACATAACCTAAACCATCACGTCACACTGTTCCAGTGAGACTCGCAGGTTGTCAGAGAACTTTTACCTTACCTTGGCGTGCCGTCTGAAAGGTTTTACCTTACTTGCAGTTTTTTGTAGGAGGACAGGCTGGTCTAGCGACAGCGGTGGATGAAGGCTTGAAACAGGGAGTACAGACAACAACTGGGAGGGGTCATGCTGTGCTGCAGCTCAATAGCACAGTTATATGGGTGGAGGAGGAGAGCTCGCCTTGACTCAACTGAAGTCTTCTTTGAAGTCATCTAGGTTAGCGGGGTAAAGATGAGATAGGAAGGTCAGGGGCCGGCAGGATAGGCAACAAGGAAGCAGTCCGGAATAGTGTTGGAAAGTCCAGCATCAGTAGCATAGGACAATTTGTCAATGAGTTACTGAGCAAAAGAGGCTTATATGCTGGCTTGAATAAGGTGTGAGGTGGAGATGAGTGAAGTTACCGTGGTGCAGATGGCAGGGAGAGAAGCAGACTGTGGCAGTTCAGGCTCTCCACATGTTTGTAGATGGTGTGGTTTCAGATTATTCTTCCAAGCCATACTAGAGTATGTATTGTGAAAGTCAAAAGGGAAAACTATTCTCACTTTATTTTTCATTTAGTTAATAGGTCAATGTGTTCCTTCAAACAATGTTTTGTTTCAAGTTTACCCTTCCTGCAAAAATCTGTATCTCTCTGTCTCTTCTTCAAAACCCTTTTCTTTATAGTGAGTAACTATACAGAAAAACTGCAACGGGACTGTTGTTTGGATGGCATGAGGGACACCCTCCTCTCTTACACCTGTGAAAGGCGTGTAGAGTACATTATTGATGGTGAAGCCTGTGCAGCAGCCTTCCTGCACTGCTGCAAGGACATGGAAAACCAGCGAGCTGACAGCAAGGTGGAGAGCCTTCAACTGGCTCGCAGTAAGAGACCGGGATAAGGGATGGGCTGAAGCCCTGGGTGATCATTTTTTGCCATAGTAGTAGTAACAAAAAAATTGAATGAAAATATGTTTGACGCTCTAGGTGAGGAGGATGACGACAGTTACATTGACAGCCATGAAATATTTTCTCGCACCAAGTTCCCTGAAAGTTGGCTGTGGAAAGATATCAAACTTCCTAATTGCACTGGATCAGACCCATGGTAAGTCAACCGACATATGGCCTACACACAAAAAACACTCACTTCAATAGTGACGCAACTAGAATTTAAGTTTACAATTACCTCCCAAAGATTTAACACTATTCTTTGTTTCAGTCATACCACATCAGTGACTGAAGAGTTTCCCCTGCAAGACTCAATCACCACCTGGCAGTTTACTGGCATTAGTCTGTCAACTACTCACGGTGAGGATTCTGTGACTGAAAGCTGTTTCGTTAAGGAATCTAAACTTGAACTTTTTTATCCCTTAAATCTTCTCTCTCTCTTTCTCTTTGGAATCCCTTTTTATTGTCCCTCTCATCTTAAAGGAATCTGTGTTGGTGATTCGTTAGAGGTGATTGTCCGGAAGGAATTCTTCATTGATCTCAGGCTGCCA